TGAAATTTTAAAGCGAGAGAGTTACCATGAAGAGTTACCTTAACTCTTAACTGTAGTTCGATTGGTCTTTTAACCGAGTTAAAAAGGAGGTTCTAAATTCGCCGCGTATATTCTTATATATGTTAACAGATTTCTTTGAAAAGGCTGAATTACCTCTGAGAGGGTTATTGGGCAAGGAAGTTTTCGACGCGCTGACCCTATGCGTGTAGGCGGACTTCACATGCTTTGAATTTATTTTATTTTATTTTTTTATTTCTCAGATATGCATTTTTCCTCACGATGTAAATAAAGTAAATTTAATAAAAAAGTACAATTCGACTTTGACACTAAAAAAAACAATAAATGCACATAATAGCTTCTAAGTGTCTAATTCTTCCTAACACAATTGTATTAGTGTCAGCTTCAACAGCAATTCTGTGAAAAATATTTCATTCGGCTTCGAAAGTAATGCTATGGTCAAAATCAGCCAGACAACGCGATCATCAAATCAAACTTTAAACAAGGTAAAATAAAAACAAAGCAAAGTTCCCCTTTTAATTAACTTTGTACGTTGAACTGAAATTAATTTTGACTCCTCTCCACACGTAAAGTGCGATGCGAAAAGTTTGGGATATTTTCATGTGATGATATAATATATAAAATGACATAAAGATTTTATTGGAATAGCTAGTAAATGTTCCGTAAAGTTTGTTTTATTATGAATGATATAAATGAACTTTTGGTGGTTTCGGCTAAGCTAATTAAAAACTAATGTAATAAATAGATTTAATATAGTCGTTATCATTTGAATTGTAATACATTTTATAACATATCGTGATATGGCGACGTAAGAGAAATCAGGAGCCCATATCATCCCGTCTGTATCATAAGATGCGATAAAGGGGAACTGAAAAAAAAACTGCAAATTCCATCCATATAAATCAAAAACCTCTATGAGGCAATATAAAGAGGCGGCCCATGTTTAAATCTAGACTTAAAAATGATGATATTACGTGTAATATTCTCCGTGTTTTGATATTGCTGCCATTCTGCAGTTATTAGAAATCTACTAAATTTAATCTGAATGAAGAATCAAAATAGATGTGCTTTGATTTTCGACACATAATAAGACCATAGGCATTTGCTCCTCAATGTTAAAATAATATTATAAAGTATGTTATGTTTTGAATTGGTCGATGTAATTGTTTTGCATTCATTCACATTTTTATTTTATATTTCTTGTTTATACGTGGTAGAGCCATTCTGCAGTTAGATTAATAGCATTGTTGTAGCACGAATGGGTCGGCTCGACCGGGGAAGGTCCGCGCTCTCACAGAATACCGGCGTAAAATAGTAAATTATTCAGACGCACCATTTTTAATTTTTAATTCTAAAGTAGTATGTTTTTGTGGCTCAAACTTATTGATTGTCGGTCGATTAATATAAGTTAAAAATGTATAAAGTAGATCCGTTATTGGCTGTAAGTTTATTCCTTAAGTTTTATTTACTTTGTAATTAGTGCTGTGGATCTTGTAATAAATTAAAAAAAATTGCTGATGTGCTTCGTATGGTGAGTTTAGAGAACCGGAGACCGTTTCACTGGAAACGAGACATTCTATCGTAGTCCTCACGGGTGACAACGCATCTGTATTTTGATTTGTAATCGAGGATAGATGTAAATGTCTATGGGCAACTACTTACCATCCATCAGGTGGACTGTGTGTTCGTTTGTCACCCATAAAAAAACCCTTATCGTGAACAATTTTTTTAAAACTGAAAACCGGCCCGCTCTGGTTTCGCATGGATAAGATCTACTAATGTGACGTTATTAAGATTTATTTTAATCAAAAATCATTTAATATATAAATTAAAAAAAATATTTTCTTTTTATTTACTTTTTCATAAAGTTTCATCACCATCGGTTCATCCAATCCGAAGGCTAGCCCGGATAGACAGATCCACAACAAATTTAAAGATATATTATAGAATTTAATATCTAAATTAATTAATAATTACAAATTTATATCTAAATAGGTTTAATCTTAATAGAGCCGTGGTAGCTTTGATGGTTAGCGTTGCTATAAATTTCACAGTACGCGAGCAACCCGGGTTCGATCGCCGGCATCAATGAAATTGTTAATCGCAATTTTAAGTGCTGATTAACCAAGTGATCAGCGGTAAAGGAAAACATGGTGAGGAAACCTTCATGTCTGAGAAATAAGAAAAAAAGTATTTCGAAGACATGTGAAGTTCGCCAACACGCATTGGGGCAGCGCGGCGATCACTTCCTTGCCTTAAAACCCTCTCAGAAATGAGAGGAGGCCTGTGCCCTGCAGTGAGACGAAGACTGTAACATTACTTTTTTTTACTTTTATACCTTAATAGCATTCACATAATACCCTGAGCTATATAGAAGCCAGTTACAATCAATACTACAGACATACACCTAATATTTTTTGTATATGTACAAATATGTATTGACATGTACATACCGTATTGATAATGATAATATGCCATTTGACACGTTTTTTTAATCTACATGAAATTTATTACTACAAACAAAAACTGAGCAAAATACGAATCAAATCACATAGATAAAATTTGATAACAGAACCATTTCCATTACCATTTCTGGCAGCTGAATGTCGGCAGTAGAATAAATGGGATATTATTAAAGATTTAGCCGAATTAAGCCTGCCGTGACAAACGGGAGGATTACGGTCCAGCTTGTATTACGATTTAAATACGGCTAGTAGGGTCATTAAAGGGAAAATAAAGCAATTAATTTTTTAATTTTAATTTTACACAGAGTAAATAAATGTAGAGAGACAAATTAAATAAACATTGAATATGTTTTAAAAAACGATAACTTTGGCAACCGATATCGGTAAATTTAATTCTGCGAACGAGTATACACATAAAAACTCACGCCTGTCACCTAGAAGTCAATATGTACTGTGATTTGGTACGACCCTGATTTTTTTATAGAATAAGGGTGACAAACGTGCACACAGTCCGCCTGATGGTAAGTGGATGCTGTGTGGCCCATAGAACATCTACATTTATTTTCAATTAAGAATCAAAATGCGGATGCGTTATCAGCCCTGAGGACTGAGATGGAATGCCTAGTTTCCAGTAAAAATGGTTTTCCGGTTCTCTAAACTCACCATACGAAACCCAGCAGCTTTAAGTTACTATTTTACGCTGGTATTATGTGAGAGCGTGGTCCCACCCCGGTTGAGCTGAACCAATCGTGCTGCAACAAAAAAGACTGAGAATGCAAGATAGAGACCAAAGTGCAAGACTAAACAAAAATTATAACGTCCGTTGTAAATAGGATATATGAGAATATTTGTCTTAGAATATTTTTTTATAACTTCAATATATGTTTTTATCGTAACAAAACATTTTGTATGGTTAATACTTCCAGTTTACCCCACTAATTTTATATACTGAATATAAAAATATTGTACTGGTAAACTTTACCATAGTCTGAAAAATAGGGATGAGCGAAGACCACGACTAAATAAGCAAGATAAATACCAACACAAAAAATATTTGTGCATTACCAAGTCTAAGACGGACAAGCAAGACCGAGACCAATACCAAGACTGTCTTGATTTTGGTCTTGCTTTGCTCATTACTATTAGGGCTCCTTCCCCATATATATCATTAGTTAATAGAAATATAATACGACACATCACATTATTTAATATGATATATTATTATATATAGTACTGGCATCCAAGACTATCGAAAGTAGACAACATAATATAATATAGACACTTCTTTACATCACTGCACACTGCTTTCATTCCCTGAAAGCATTCAAAGCAAAACTTTCAACTGAGAATACTAAGCATTGGACGCTTTTACGTTTAGGAATTCCTGCTAATAGCCTGTAAAGATGGCGACAGTAATGTGATATAGAAATTTCAGCACCGTCTCCAGATTTAATCCAATTAACGCGGACACATTCACCCGATGCATTTGTTACATTGACGCTTTTTATTTAGTGCGATAAAAGTAAAACTACTATTTTGCATCTGCTTATATAATCGTAATAAATATTTTGTATTTTAGTATTTGTTTTATTTAATGGCCTCTTCATCAATAAAAAAACAGGGCAATATTTTTATAAAAAATTTAAAGACCTTATCCTTCTAAGAGAACAACTTTACAAAAGAAAATTTGTACTAATACTCTCTTTTAATTGGGAGGAGGTCTGTGCCCAGAAGTCATCATCATCATGATAGACCTTCACAAGTTCACAGCTGAACATATAGGCCTTCCCAGGATTGGGGCCACATGGTTTGACTCCCTTCATGTCTAACAAAGACTACATTCAACTTTTTAGTTCAGCTGTCCCACTGCTGGGCACATGCTTCCCCTCGTTTCTGAGACGGTTTTAGGGCAAGGAAGTGTCCGCCACGCTTCACTAATGCGTGTTGGCGAACTTCACATGTCTTCGAAATATGTTTTTTTCTTATTTCTCGGATATGCAGGTTACCTGACGATCTTTTCCTTCACTGCTGAGTACGTGCTAAACCAGCATTTAAAATTGCAATTAACAATTTCATTGGTGCCAGCGGGAATCGAGCCCGGGTTGCTCTAACCATCTGAGCTACCACAGCTCTATTTTTAGTTTTTGATTATTATAAAAGTTAAAATTAAACTCGATAAAATCCGCATAATTAGTGTTATTTGATGTGAAGTATTGCGTAAATATAAGAAATCGTTAAGTAAATTTAATTTTCAAATTAGGCTAATATCGTCACCTACCGGAAAGGGAGGAACAACGTCTGCCGAACCAGCTAGTAAGCAATATAAGACAACATTTAAAAGCACTTTTATTTTATAAATTAAAGAAAATATTGCAAAACATTTAAACGAGCTTACGATAACGCGGAAACTGCTTTACAAAAGTATACCACTCTATAATGTTGACGTCACATATAGAACTCGTTCGTGTCAAGTGCAAGCTTATTCCAGAAATCTCAACCTAATTTCTCTCTCAACAGGGTTCACTTCAAGGCATCAGCCGATGACGACTACGCAGACTTCACATGTGAAGCCAGACACGAAGCTTTGCAGAGGGATGTGCCTATGAGGAGCACTGTTCAACTCAGCGTGCTCTGTGAGTATCCCTTATTCATGTCTTTTTTAATTTAAATAATACTATTAATAATAGTACTAATACGCTATAATATTTCTAATACATTACTTTCAACATGGCTTAAAATATTTGTGTTAGAAGTTGTTTATTTCATACCAGTAGTCAAAATAGCCGATTCGAACACACCTTTCTGAGTTTACAGTCTGATCTCTTATTCAATTGGATGCTGTCGCTGCTAGTATATAACAGATTTAATTTTGCTTGAGTTTAGATGAGTATATAAATGGGGTCATCATCGTCAGGGCATTTTACCACCATCTGTCGAAAGCCATTAGATTTTTTCTGGCACTTCCATTAACCACCCACGGGAAAAACACAATAACATTAAGCTGCTATTTTTCGCTGGTATTCTGTGAGAACGTCGACAAGTTCTTCAAAAGTCAAAATTATTTTTGTAATATAAAATTTTAATTTAAAAAGAAGCGGTCTTAAAATAATGATATGGTCATTAAAATTTGAATTGGTTTCAAATATCACGCGTGCTGCAGTGATTGGTGTCTCACGTGTACACTTTAAAGGATAAGAAAAGTGAACCAAAAGTGGGGCTAATTACTCTAACCTTTCAAAAATCACGTTCCGCAATTATATGATTATAACTGTTTGTGTTTGGAATTCCCCATAGCCGCTTCTTACGCCACCCATGGAACTAAAGGGTGTTGGTTTCTCGACACCACTCGACATCGTCTTCCTATGCTTTATCAGTCACGTTACACTATTTCCCACATTAGCTTAAATATAGCACTTGGTTTCCAATATCGTTGCACGTTGAACAGCACAAGCAGTGAGTGCTTTCACTATGCAAGTAATTATATTAATTAACTCCCTCTGGCAATTTCCCTTCGAACGGACACGGAGATGGAAGCGACTCCAAATGTATCGTTTCAGTTACATCTACTCGGCAAAGTTCATTCATAGCATTGTTTCAAAAGTACTCAGATATATCATTATATACAAAATATATTTTATACAATTTAAAATTAAATATAATAAATTAAGTTATATCAGACACTCTTATCTCTTATTTCCAGAGTATATATTGGAATTTTAACTTAGTTCTCAGAGGTAACAATATCTGTAGCCTTTTTTTGTTTGAAGAATAATAAAGATATTCTAAAATGCTTCAGTTTTCTGATAATGACTATTATTCTAGGGTTGTCGCACTTCAAAAATTAATTGGACCAATTTGCATTGTACCGTAAATAAATTGCACGAATTTGCGCAAACGTCCGCTGTCAGAAATTGCAAAGCGACGTGAACCGTGGCACGGCTATGAGTTATAAGCCTGCATTGGAATACAGTAATATTTTATATCTGTGCTCTTTCGAAAATATTTTTTCTATTTTATTTTATAAAATCTCAGTGACAAACAAAACCACAGTCAACTTGATGGTTACAACATTCTATATGCATCGGATAACTCAAAAGTGTAATAAGAAATTTTTGTTATGTGGATTTTAAATAACTTTTTTTAAAATAAAAGTATAAATATTTGAATTTTATTTTAATATATCATTCAAATTAAATTAAAATGACAATCTAGATTGGAGAGTGCGCTTGAATAAAATGTACGACATTTTCTGGTAAGGATGGCAACCATAGACATATGCAACCGACTTTAAACAAAAGAGGCTCCTAACGCGTTGTCACATCTGAGAACTGAGTTGAATGTCTTACCATTACCGTAATAGCCTTTCAGAGTCCACTACTGAACGTAGGTCTTCCCCATAGACTGCCCTAGGTGATATTTACCACAGTTGCCCCGCAAGCGGTTTTGGCAAACACAGTTTTTCTATTTTTACAGTCGTAATTAGGAATACGCTGTTGCCCATCTCCTGATATGTTTCATTCTGTCGCTTTTTATGACACCCACGGATGAAATGAGGTAGTGGATAATCTTACATGGCTACTACACGATATAGAATTTCTTACAGCATGTTGTAATGCTAATTCAAGTGGATGTTATGCTGTGTCATGTGTAAATATGAAAAGAGAAACTTCTTTAATGAGGATAAAATATAGGTGTGTAGGGACCGCAGCACCCAATTTCCATCACATAGACTGTTTCGCTTGCCGTACTTATTATTTAAAAACAAGTACTCCTGCCTCTGACTACCTCATGGAATATTTTCCATAGTGGCCACGCTTGGTAGGCGGATTTGCAACTACAGGTTTTATTTTTTTAGTTGTTATCAGGTAGGTACTAGTGCCTATCTAATGTTTTGTTTCCCTCTATCACCTCCTAAGGCACCCACGGAACGATATGCGGTAATGGATATTCTAACACCGCCACAACACGGTTTATAAGTAGGATGTAACACGTAATTCTTCGTCAGTCCTTGACAAAATTGCCACTCATAATAGAAGCCAATGGACAAAGTGTCAGCACAATCGTTTTAGCGTCGTATTATTGAACTAATAAAAATCGTTATCATTTATCTCTGTCCACTGTCATAGAAACAATATATAAAACCGTCTCGTATGCTCAGTGTGTGGGCGCGGCCCAATTCGATGATACTACCGAAAATAAACAACATGGGAGACTGCTTATTATATCTAATGACATTGTTTTGTGTGTGCGTCTTAATATTGTTTATAGAATAAGGGTGACGAGCGAAAACTTACTTTACCTGATGGTAAGTGGATGCAATGGCCCGAAGATATCTATATTAATCCTCGATTAAGAATCAAAATACACATCCATTGTCACCCGTAAAGGACTAAGATGAAATGCCTCATGACCAGTCAAAAGGTTCTCCAGTTCGCTACACTCACCATACGAATAACAGCAGCATTAAGTGAGAGCATGGTCCTACTCCAGTCGATCCGATCCATATGTATGTACTACAACCATAACAAAACTGCTGTGTCTCTCCCACGTAAGAAAGACTTCACGTTTATTTAATTTTAAAGACTTTTTTTAAAGTACAGACATAATTAGAATTATAAATAGATAAATAGGCTCCAACGACATTTAAATTAATGAGACAAGAAAAAGAAAATAGAACAAAACAAAAATTTTAAAGAAAAATAAGCTAAAACTAACATTAATGGATGCTTTAAGAACTCGTTTCGGAGAAAGTAACAAGCGATAATTAAATTTTCGCGCCCTGGAGTCGTAAAATTAATTAAGTTTTCTTTTAACAAGTGCTATTGATTAAAATAAATAAGAGCAAGAAGAGTTAATGTTAAAAAGCAAGGTAATGTTGACACTGAACGTCCTACTGCTAGGCAAAGGACTCCTTCATTAACGTCTCACCATTTCTGATAGGGTTTTAGAGAAAAAATGCATACCGCAGAAATAAAACAAAAGACTTGAAGCAATTATATGAAGTCTTTCAGTACGCGGACACTTCGTTGTCTTGAAAAGCCTTTTAGAAATTAGGTCTGTGGACAGTTTTGGTACGTATATATGATATAAATCTACTAACTGTAACATGTAAGTTTCTTAAACATGGTTTCTTTAGTTAATAGTTAATTAGCAATTTCAATGGCGCCGGTGCTGATCGAATTATAAATCGGTGATCGAAAATAGGTTTTTTAAAGAGTTGTAGAAAACGGCTTAACCGATTCAGATTATTTTTTCTTATTAAATTCGCTGCTGAACAAGCCTCCCTCAAGGAACGTCACAAAGTAAGGTCCTGAACCACCTGCACCCATCGAATTCCTGCATAACTTACCATTTGGTAACTCGCACCTTATGGGAGGTCACCCTACATTTTACCTAGCGGTACGAGGCTGCCACTCGAGAACTTTTCTTAATTTTTCCCAAGTGTACCATTTCCACTTCAGCTTACAAATCCGTTGGGATGTGTCAGTCGCTCTGGTTCTACTGCGGATATCCTCATTTCTAAGTGTATCACGCAGGGAAACCCCGAGCATAGCCCTCTCCATAGCTCGCTGAGCGACCTTGAGCTTCCTCACACGGCCAGCAGTGAAGGTCCTCATCTCAGATTCTTAAGTCATCACTGGCAACACGCAATGGTTGTGTTTTGGTCTCGTGTTCAAGTTTTGAAGTATACCTGAGAAGAGGTGTCGTAATCTACCGAACGCTGCCTAGCCGTGCCTGCAATCCGTTGATTGACCTTTCAGTCGAAGTTGGACTTATCTAGTCGGACTATTTGTCCCAGGTAAACAAGGATTCTATACAAATTTAATGAAACATTTCCATATCTTTGGGTGGAAAAATAAGGGACGAAAATTTCAATGTATTTATTTTGATGAAGTTTTCATTGTTTACCTTGGACTTGTAATATTCCATAAAATATTCAAAATGATAAGATAATTAAAATTTTAAAAAATGGTACAAAACTATTACAAAACAAAAAGAAATCCACATAATATCTTCTGAATTTCGGAGCTTTAATTCCTCGATATGAATGAGGGCTAATAATATTCCGCTCACCAGATATCGCTAGTAAGCACTGAGGTTTTTTTTATAGAATAATGGTGACAAACGAGCACACAATCCACCTAGTGGTAAGTGGATGCTGTGGCCCATAGACATCTACATTTATTCTCGATTAAGAATCAAAACGCACATACGTTGTCACTCCTGAGGACTAAGATGGAATGCCTCGTTTCCATTAAAAAAGGGTCTGCGGATGTCTACACTCACCGTACGAAACACAGTATTAGGTATTAGGTACAGTATTAGGCTGCTATTTTACGCTGGTATTCTGTGAGAGCGTAGTTCTACCCCGGTCGAGTCAAACCATTCGTCATTCGTGGCTCCATCACGTAAAAAAGACGATGACGTTTTTTGTTATAAGATGTCATTAAATTTATAAAGTTTTGAAAAAAATCTATCAGTTTCTAGAGTGTAATATTAAGACACAAATTTTTTGTGTTAATATTATGTAGCTAATTTATTTTCTCTTTAAGTTTTTGCACTATCTTAACTCTTTTCTTTTAATATTTCTACTTTTGTAATATCTGTAGTTTAGTTCAATAATTTCTAATTC